ATTTGGCTCCATTGTTTGTTTTGTTAAAGGGGGATTCTGAGTTAAATTCACCTAGGCAGCTGACAGGCAAAGCAAGTGTTCCCTTAGGAAAAGTATTCCAAGCCATTCAAACTCACCAAGCACACAGAATGAATCCAAATTTACCATTCCTTGTAGCTGTTTTGGGGAAGGGATCTCAAGTCCAATGCCTTCATTTTTCAATGGGACCCTGGGACATCAGATCCTTTGTTAATTCTAGAATGGGTTTTCCTGCTCCATCAGCCGGGGAAAACCATAACAACAAAACCAGAGATGGTGGCTCAGCTTATTATCACAGCCAGATGACACTTGTTTTCACTCAGCAGGAAAGACTTCTCTACTGTATATCTGCCCACAACTACTGCACATTTGGATTGGCTATTGCATCAATCAGAATGTCTGCAAATTGCTCTTGAAAATTCTACTGAGCAAATTTCAATACATTACCTTAAGCATAAGTTACTGCATTCTGCCCTTAACATAATCCCAAAACCATTAAGAAGTGATGTGCCGTTGAATGCACTCACTGTCTTCACAGATGGATCAGGACAATGCCATAAATCAGTTATAACCTGGCAAAACCCTGTAACACGAGTGGGAATTGGACATCTAAACAGTAGACGGTTCACCCCAAATGGTGGAATTAGCTGCAATTGTTAGAGCTTTTTCTAAGTTTACATGCCCTTCTAATTTGGTTACTGATTCTGCTTATGTTATAGCTATCGTCAAGAGAGCTGAAAATTCATTTCTAAAGACAGTTACTAATGATCAGTTATACTCCTTGCTTAAGAATCTTATTTTTCTTCTTTCTCAGAGACAGGATCCCTATTTTGTCTTGCACGTCCATTCCCATATCTAATTGCCCGGACCTCTGCTAGAAGATAAAGGACCTTTGGTTCCAGCAAAAAATATCAAACCATATCTGTAGCCTCTACAGGAACACCAAGACGCTCTACAAGAGAAATCACAAAAGGAACCTAAGGAAAAGATATCCTGAGAACTACCACCTATCTGCTGCAGAACTCCTTCATAATTTCCTTTCTTAGCTTTCCCACAGATTATTCCATTAAACATGACCCCCAAGGGACTCCTGCTCATTACGGCCATCCAAATCAACCCCTTGCTCCTCACAAAGACGTGGATAATCCCACAGCCAAAACAAAACCACATGGACACAGCTGCAAGGACTTTGAAGGCATGTGTTATATGAATCATTCTGATCATAGTAATCAGTCCATTCATCACAGTGTACAAATTGTCAAGGAAAGAGTCAAGAAATTGCAAGTAGATGACAGCGACTGGTTCAATGGACTATTCAGAAAATGGAACTTACCTAGTTGGACTCTATCTTTAGTCAAAATGGGTTTACTGATTTATGTAGTTGTTGTGCTTATGTTGGTACCCTTCTTTTTTAAGTTGTCAGTTAAGGGTTTTGCAGAAATCTTTAATGAAGGTCTTTGCAATTCAAAGAGTAGGGGCAGATGTGGGAAGTGAATCAGCTGGGATATATCATACCTTGGACCGGGTTCCTGATACGGAGAGAATAAACCTGAGGCCCTGGGAGGCAGGATACTGAAAGGATGGAAATTAGGATGCTACTGGAATCATTCCTAACAGGTCATGTCCCTGGTTTGCATTCGCAATTGGACCCCTATGAATTGTTAAGTTCAGCACTCTGGTGGGTCTTTGGAGCTTTACACCAGAATGTGCGGCTTTTATAGGTTGTTATTTTACCACCAGTAAAGCTTTTTGGGCATCTCCATCATTCCCATCCATCCCTATATTTTGTCACGCCTGCCTGTCCGGACTGGTCCCAGAGTCATAGCAAGCTGACTGTGACAATCTGTGACTAGCTCAGTTGTAACCTGACATCTGGAAGTGTTTGATGCCACCCCAAGACAGGTAACAGTTCAGGGCATAACATCTCTAAGGGCACATCCAAGTAGAACCAAGTAGAAAATCAAGAGACAATCAAGTAGAATAAAGGATCCAGATCTTAGAGCACAGGTGAGCATGCTGCAGATATAACAGATCTGCTTTTGTCAGTGAAAAGCTTTTTTAAGTGGACAGTTGTCTTAGGCTGCAGTGGAAGATGTAACCAAAAGTATGTATTCTATTACCATCTGTTAAAACCAGGTAGGGCAGTGTTCTTTATCTCTTCCACAACCCATCATCCCTCCAGGGTGATATCTTCTGTTAATGGGCCATCCAGTCTCAGTGCATGACTGATAAAATTACAGCATCCCATTGTGAGAAGCTCCACCCAGGGGGAGGAGCCAAGCATTCCTACCTAATCTAAGATCTAGAACACCACAAGCAGCTTTTTTCCACTATTCTCAGAAGACCAGACTCATCTACAAGACCAGGGGAAAACTACACCCTTCTACAGGATCACTGCTTCAACAGAACCACGTGTCACTCCAAAAGGACTGCAGCCACCATTTAATTGCACTGCTATCAACACCCTGAGCAACAGGGCATCAGCTTGTATCCTGTCATTGGGTTTTTTTGTACTACTGCATTTTTATTTTAATTTTTCTAGTAAAGACCTGTTATTCCTATTCCCATGTCTTTGCTTGAGAGCCCCTTAATTTCAAAATTATATTAATTTGGGGGGGGGGTGTGTGTTTACATTTTCCATTTGAAGAGAAGCTTCTACCTTCCTTAGCAAACACCTGTCTTTCAAACCAAGACAACAGTATTAATACTTAACCTCTCTCAGTGGATATTTATACACTGTGCATCCACCAGTAAGAGCGAAAATAATCTGGAATATACCACTTACATTCTTCGTGTTCTAGTGAAGAGAGGACACACCCAGAAATCAAACCAAAGATTACCACTCTATTACCAGGGGAAGCATTATCTTTCTCTACAATATACATAAATACCAATATAATAAAATAAATACATATTTTGCAAAATGAAATGAGAAAAAAAACACAGCAGTATGGAAGAGATAAAGAGTAGAAGAATTTGCAGTCCTACTTAACCAGCATATTTTTCTTCTACTCCTCTTCATTGGAATTGCCTGTTCCACATCAACCTATTTCATGAACATTTTGAGGAATGCTCTTCTCTTGCACATTCTAGATAGAATCTACTCACAAAAGAAATTCTCAAGAGCACATACAGAAAGTGAACATTAAAACAGAAAGAAGTTTGGCATTCTCTGAGAGAGACTGCTGGGAGTTTCTTCTCTGCTTGAGATTAGGCCAATAGCTAGCCAGTTTTGAGAACTGACAGCATTTTAGACCACTGAAAGGTAAGATCACTTTGTGAATACCACCTTCTAAACCCAAGCCTGGGAACTGCTCGTCTCTTTGTTTCTTGAAAGGTATTGAAACTCTGTTGTGGCTGGCCCCAGTCCCCCACGGCCTGTGTGGCCTCGGGGGAGGCTGGGCCAGACTCCAGTGGCTCCTGGGGGGGGTGTGGGGGATGGAGACTGAGGGGGTTCCCCTGGCCCCAGGCCAGTCTGGGCTCTGCTGCGGCCCTCCCGGGAAGCCTTCTGGGTCCCATTCCATCAGGGTGGCTGAAGCCCTTCCCAGGGGGGCCCTCGGCCCTAGGCTGGGCCGGGCCAGGCTGCTGACATCTCGATGATACCCTCTTGCCCCCTCCGTGGCCCAAATAGAGGGCTCCAAGCTGACAACCATCTGCTCCCTCCCTTTGTCTGCTGGGCTGAGAGAGACACCTGAAATCCAACCCCTAAAGGCTGGCTTGGGCCAGATTTAACCCTTCCACTACACAGACTTAATCCCCTCTCCAGACAGAGGGAAGTGCATAAAACACATAAAGAACATAAAAGACAACATGAAACATCAAGGTCAATAAAAGAATAAATCAAGCCTCAGGAGAATGAGGAGATGCTTTAATAAGCTGAAATATTCTTCTGGTAGGACGATGGAGATGGACAATAATGTTCTGAAAAACTCCTTTCATTCAAGAAAGAGTATTGGGGGGGAATGAAGTATTTCAAACTGTGGATCTGAGCAAAGGTATCCATTGATGAAGCTGAGCAGATGGTGGAGTAGCTGTGATCCCATGAGATTCTTGAACAGAGAGGGAGAAGTGAGAGTTGATGAAGACATTTTGCCCCAAGGGAAAGAAGAAGAAAACTTCTGTTCCCAGAGATGATCACAGAGACCGATGAAGAGAACCTTTGCCTTTGAATAACTCATCCTTAAAATAATACACCTCTGAGTGGTTTGAAAATGGGAGGAATGCATGACGACAGTTTTTTCCCAGGTGGCTGCCAGTCATGGAAATGAAAAGCCACGAGAAAACTGCTTTTTGTGGATAACCCTCCATGGAATGACAAAATTCCTCTCCCTACAGAGAGTGATGAAAAGACTGTTGAATAGTTGGTACTGCTTTAACATCCCAGGTTTTGTCTCTAGAGTGTCAGTTGGGAAAGGAAAAAGGTTGGGTGGGGGAAGAAAAGTTTCTGGAGGTTTTATTCTGGTTTGTTATTCTTGTAGTCTTGTTAATAAAGTTCCTTTATTCCTTTTAAGCCTGTTTTGCCATTCTCCTAATCCGTATCTCACAGCAAGAAATAAGTATTCTGGTGATTTTAGCTAGAGCTAAAACCACCACAATACAGAAGATGTAATGTCTCCTTCACAAAAGAAACCTTACACTAAAGTTTTAAGCAAGCTGTCTGGCCCACAGATCAGGCCTCCCTTGTTTAAATCCTACCAACCAAATTTGTAAGAATACACTACTTCCTTAGGACACCCATGCACCTTTTTAATGGGATCTTTCTTGGAGGAAGAAGGTAAGAGGTATGATTGTAGCTATTAAATCAGCATTAGGGTAGTCACAGTCTTGAAGGATTGGGTTGTCTTTTATCAGTTCCTGAATACAAAAGTCTTTCAAATAACTTTAGTCACACTGCGTACAGCAATCAAAACATGAAGCAAAGTAATTAAATGAGATAGTCTGTTTTCTCAAAAAAATCTAAAGACTACTAGAAGACATTCATCTCAGTGGCTGCACCAAAGACTAATGCAGAAATGGATTTATATTTTCATTCTTAAACAAAATAAACATACAAACAAAAAGGTACTTAAAAAGAGCCACAGAAATATTACAGATGAGAAGGGTTTCCCCATTCTGTTCTCACAGTGTAAGAGTCCTTTCCATGTAACAGCTAAGCCATAAGCATAAGTCACCAGAAATGGAACTCAATAGACAAATACATGATACAATGAGGCAAGACTTGATCAGTTTCTTATGAACGAGTAATTTGCCGTGAGGGTAGTACAAATCACAGCTCAGCAGTTATGTCTTGTAAACAATAAAGCAAAGTGCTTCATCCTGTATCTTGTGGTTGTCTACAGATGCTGCTTTACTACTCTGCAAACAGGACATTTCAATAATTTGGAGAGCAGCACACTTGAAAAGGCAGAGGTTCCTCTCTTGCTGCTGATTATATGTTTTTAAAGTCACTGCTAAAAATTTCTGGATGTACTGCTTCCCAGTTCTAAAACCCTTTATGCAAAAGCCGGAAGAAGGAACAAACCAAAGACACTACATGAAAAGAACACTACCTGAAGACTTCTGGAAGATTTAATCTCATCTGTCCCTATCTAATGGAAAATGGGCTACATAAACAGAGCAAGCCAAAGACCAGCAGCTAGCTTAAAATGCATTTGCAGTCAACAGTGTCCATATCCCACCCTTTATTACCTTTAAATGCCAAAGGCCTGGGATGATTCTAGTTGGCATATGAAATTCAAGAGGAAAACCCACACTGTCACTTTTTCCTGATATCCCTGTCTCCCGCCTGCTGGTGGGGATGGCCAAAAGGCTTGGGACATTCCCTCTGCTGCCTGAAATAAGGGATGCTGATGTAAACATGTAATTCACTAAGGAAAGAACAATGATGCAATACAAACTATTTCATTACACCAAGCAGGTCACAACCTAACATAGAAGTTTAGGGTTTGTATGTCAATTAGCCAGTGTAATGGCAGTCTGTTCTCTCACAAACCCAATTTTGTTTTAGAGATCAAGCTTCTGTGCGTTCATTTCGGAAACAAGATCCTTCTTCCAAATGCTCCTAGTTTACAGCTCTAGACTCTTAACAGGTCCTTCCAGGTGCCCAGTCTACTCTTCCAGCAGCAGTCAACCAAACACCATTAGGCTGGTTCTAGGCAGCACAGGAGCAATGAGTCTTCAGTAACAACGTTCAGATAACATAGTAGCTTTCACTATAGGAAGAATCTTCCTCAGAGTCCTCATTGTCACAACTGCTCATTGACAAGATGGAGTTGGTGAAAGAAGGGACACTGTTGTCATTGTCTATGGCTGGTTTCGCCATCACATTCTGTTTCTCTGCATTCAAAACATACAGATAAAAAAAGTCAGCTGTGACCACTGTACCCACAAGTGCTAAATTACTACTTGTCTTTGAAACTATATTTTAGCTTTTGTCAGTTTGCAATAGGTCTTTCAAGCTGCAGGACATAGGCCTTTTTCTTTCCTGCTTTCAGCGTAAAAGAACAAAGGTATGGGAGTTATTTGCTTCTCAAGTGCTCTAAAGTGTTCTGTGTGTCTTTTCCTATTAAGTTGAAACAGATGAGGAAGAGACATTCTCCACCCCTTCACAGGCACACAACTGGCAATGAAAGTGGCTAACTTATTTCAGTGTCTTGCCAGGTAAGAAAAGGAAAGAAAAAAAATGTGATAAGGGGCTCTCAAACAAGTAGTGATTGTTCAGGTCATTTATAGCCTCATCAAAAGCTTCATCTGTTTAAGACTGCAAGCTGTCCTTCTAGTGCAGGGGCTACTAAGACTCTTAGAAGGAAAGCCCTGACAGCTTCTCAAGTGTCACTTGCAACATCATTCTTCTTTCAACAGGTGTATTTCTTAAGAATTAATTTTAAATAGACAAATGGTTATCTTCATTTCAATCAAAATGTTTCTATCACTGCACCAAAAGAGGCAAAGAAACCATTTCACCTTCCAGCTGAAGCATGTCACAGTAAATTTAAATGATTTCCTACTGGTAGTTATTTCTGATGGTAAGCTATGAACTCATTTGCTTTTTGTTCAAACAAGGATGAAGACCACTGGTGTAGCGCACAGTGGGCTCCAATGAAGGCACCACTTCAGCTAGTGCCCATTAGCTACCTGACAAGACACTTCAGGAACACTGTGGCACTCTGCAGATGCAAGCATTGCACAAGGGCTGCCTCAGTTCTGCAGAGGTAAAAACAATTCTTGTAGCTGAGCTGGACAGGCTCTCAGCAATGCAGCATTTCCTGAGGGAATCAGACCGAAAGGGTTATCATAGGTTATAATTTCAGGCTTGAACCAGCACTGCTTAGTGATGTCATTTTATGTCACCATGGCACATCTGAAAGGTTTCAAAAGCGCCTTTCTTTTGGTAAAAGGCTTGATACATTGCAAAATTAAGGATCATGCACTGATGTCTATGAAGGGGAAACAAGACAATTACTTCGAGAACACAGCAATAGATATTTAAGGGATAACAGGAACAGATATCTACATTTCAGCACCTAGATACCAGTGTCAAGTGCTCTAGAAAGAAATTTAGAAGGAAGCAGACATGGAATAACCTATACTGGGGTTTTTATTAAAGCCATCTCCATCATGCACAATATTTTAGCAACAACTAGGCAAGACGTTATGCCTGTAAGCCACAGTGGTTTTAATTCCACAAAAATAAACATGTCAGAGCAACTGTCAGTTCAGTCATACACTTCCATGATATAAAAGTGTCTCCTTCAGAGATTTTCTACATAAATCTAGCACTGAGAAAATAATTCAGAGCTTCTAGTCAGGTCTGCTGAATTTCTGTAATTATGTAATCCACAGTTTAATCAAAGGTGCCTGGCAAAATTTTCAAGGACCATTCTATATTTTTGCTTTTATTAAGTGGTCTCTTTGAAAGAGTGAAACCTTTAGCATGGTTAGATTAAGTTGTCCCACCAGACTGTGGTGGTCTTCATACCACCAGTATGAAAGACTTCATACTGAAGTCTTTTTCCAAACTTTGTACTAATTTCAGTTTACTGTGCAGTAAAGCTAGCTAGTCAAGAGATGTCATTATTATTTTTTTAGTGTTTCTGCAGCATTCCCTGAGCATCTCCTTAGTATATAGGTGCCAAAGAAAGTTGTACAAAATAGGTGGAATAAAAGATTGTACTCATCATGCCACATCCACCCACCTCTCACCTTTCCGCTCTCTGATAAGGTTCAGGCGATGCTCTTTCATTTCCACATCGAGTTTTTCTACCATCCTGTTAATGCAGTTATCCAGCACCAGAGAGCGTGTCTTTGATTTGATCTCCTGCCTGCAGATAGGGCACTCCACTTTACGTCTCATCCACTCATTGATACAGTAGGAGCAGAAGCTGTGTGCACAGTTCAGAGTGACCGCCTGTGGAATTTAGCAGAAGGATACTGGTCACAACATGCTTGCAAAGGCACTGTCAAGCAAAAACATACTGAATACAGGGAAATATTAGATGAATATTTTGTATAGGGAAAGGGACTGAAGAGCCCAAAGCCTTCAGGGCCTTTGCAAGAGTCACACAAACTCTCCCATGCCAGAGGTCAGGCCAGCTTTACAAGTGTCCTGGGGTGACTTTATGATACTGGTATCCCAAATTGTCTGGTTTATGTTACATATTAAGTTCTGCACCTTTAAGACTGGCTCTGAGAGTGAAGGAGGGGGAAGAAGAAGTGCGCAGTTTGCATTGAAGAAAAACACTCACTCCCCTGCATCCTGCTGCTGGACTGTGGTGTCTGCAGCACGGACAGACAGCGGGACATAGCTTCTCTTTTACAGTTAGTTAGTTTTAGCTAGCTGAGGCAGAGGAGTTCCCTGGACTGTTTTTTTCCTTTTTCTTTGGATCTGTTCAAACCTGCTCTGGACTGAAAAACACCCAGCCAAACCCCAGGAGCTCACACCTGTGGTCCACCAGGGCCTGGGCCTCAGCACTTTCTGGTGCCAGAGGGACTGCTAAGAGACTGAGCAAGCCGAGCTATACCACATGAAAAGGACTTTTCTGGATTTGTCATCTCATCGAACAGTGAGAGGTTTTATTGTTTAATATTATTCAATTTCTGTTAAATAAATAGTTTTTTGCACTTCTCTCCAAGGAAATCTCTTTTTCCCAAACCAGTTGGGGGGGGGGAGGGGGGGGATGCTGTTTGAATTTTGCTTTTTCTGGAGAACCCCATTTGGAGGTTCTCTCCCAAATTTTCCCTAAACTAGGACAATGAGTCAGTTAATGGAGTTAATGAAAGTGATATATAGCAAGTCAGAAACAGACAAAATTAATTCATTTTATTACAAGTTATCCCAATTCGAAAAGGATAAATTATGGAAAAAACTCAAGACACTGAAAAGTAGCATCTTAATATACTGAGAAACCAGAAATTAAAATTTCAGCTAGCTCTTAAGCCATTATAATAAGGCTAATACATCAGGTTTCCCATAGTAAAAAAGAATGTAATAAAACTGACCTTCTAGCAAAACATGAACAAAAATAATGGTCTACATGACAAGCATAGCCTATTACTTGGAGAATCAAATGAAAATAGGCCAATTTCTCAAAGAAAGAGTTTATCTGAACAATATAAATATCCCAGGACTTGTCTGAATACTGTACCTCCCTTCCTTTACTAACCTCTCCATATATCTAAATCTCAAACAGTCCAACTCTAGTCAGCTTAAAGCAAGGTCCACTACAAAATAATTCTTCCTCAAGCAGCTGTTAGCAGCAATTCGGAACACCAGTTCAAAAACCTACACAAGTGCACCAAACTTATGTGCGTTTTAGGATTAAGCACCCATGTCTATGCAGATAGATACATTAAAGCTGAATTTGCTGTCAAATAGAGTCAGGGCAGACAGAATGAATTTATGGATCAACTCTTTCCCATAAGGACTCACTGTGGGTCTGTTGGGACTGTTAAACAAATGAAATAAAGAAAAGGGCTTAAATATTGCATAACTAGAACTATGGAAAGCTTCTCAAATCTCTTTTTTACTAGCAAACCCATACAGGTTTAAACATACCTCGATAAAGTGCTCAGAACAGATTGTGCACTGCAACTCATTCTCCAACACATCATTCATCTGATTCAATACCTCTTCTTTTTGGGCTCTCACCTTTTCCTTTTCCTCCTATTGGAAAAGTACATGTGCTTATGCATCAACAAAGAACAAGTTTTTTTCTCAATTGGCAGGAAGTGTGTGTGCAGGGGAAGAAAATCATACTGCAAAGCTCCACATGACAGGTGAAGTGGGTATCTATCATATACCCAGATCTGTAACCTCCTTCCTCTCTGTAGTCTCAGCAGTATTGAGAATACTCCCACCCACTAAAGAGAACTTGAAAGGAAGAACAGCAGCCACTAGCAAAATTCCCTTCTGTGGATGCTAGCTTTGGAGCAGGCTGCAGGCCCCATGGCCTCTCAGTCCTGCCTGAGAAGCTAGCCTGAGAATTCATAGGAGGATTTCAAAACAATCCTCAGAAACAGAAAACAACTGCCAGGTGCTGTTTGTCTGTCCTCTTGCTTTCCTTGCAGGAGAAAGTCAGGGGGTGGTGAACCCCACTGACCAATGATGGTGATGTAGTGATTTACTAACCAGTAAGAGTTTCCTTTCTGTACTTTCCACGAACTAATCTATATAACAAGCCTAGAGCAATAAACTAGGAGATTTCTCCTGTTCTGACTCCCTTGAGAGTCTGTGTCGTTCTTTCCCGCCGTTCCTAATTAGAACGACACCCTTCATCCTAAAGAAATGACCAGTTGATCATCTTCAGAATCTTTCAACCTGTTCCTGGCAAGAGTTTGCTTCTAGTCAGTATTTTTTTTGGTGTCTGATATAAAAAGCAAAACACCCAACAGACTAAACACAGCAAATGTTAAAAAAAGGAAGCAATAAAGTTTAAAACATTTACTTGCATTTAACAACCTAATAATCTTTTTGATAGAGTTAAATTAGGCTGATTAGGCTGGGTACCTGCTCTATCTTCTAAAAATAACAGGAAAATTCTTCTAATTGAAGCTGTAGTTGAAACAGCAACAAACTTCCAAAGATGACATTAAAAAAACAAAGAAAACTGTCAATGTTGGATAATGTGATAGTTTCCAAAAGTAAGTCACAGGAAAGGATCTCCTTAATTATTTTCCACACATCAGTTTGTGTCAAGGGCAGGAAGAACTGTGGTTTTTCTCAATCATTATTCAAATTCCATGTTGCTTCAGTCCTACATTCCCTTATAGAACTGCTGTCACAATGCAGTTTTACTTGAATGCCCTTTAACTGAAAATGAAGCACCTCATTTTTCAAACATTTTTAGTTTGTCAGTGGATTTTTTTACTGTTATTTCTGGTTTGACTCTTTGTTTGCTTGTGGTTTTTTTTAAAGAAAGGGTGCAATGGGCCCATTGCTCTTCTACAATGCACTGTTCAGGTGCTTTGGGCTTTCTTTACGATCGAGAAAGATCTAGTAACAACTGTTTGACACTAATTTACCAAAAGGGCAAGGTGCCTCTTCCCCCAGTACTTGAAACCAGAGTCAGCTGCCATCTCAAAACACAGAAATTTTTCACTATAGGAGGCCAGGCAGAGCCAAGACAAAAGTTAAACAAACCATTTCCTCTGCTGCAGCGTGTCATGTTTCACTTACGAATAAAACTAAGAATGCAGTTACTCCTTACCTTGGTTTCTTCCAGTTCTTTATTCTTGGCTCGAATTATCTCCTCAAAATCTTTTTTATTACGATTCAGTTCTTCCATTAAAGCACGATGCTGTAAACAATACCATTACAGAAGTTATAAGAGTACCATTATAAGCAATCCTATTAAAGATACATGGTCATAGTCATAAGGTTCAGCATTAAAGTTCACTCATTTCTCCTATTCTCCTCCTAGAAGAGCAACACATATGAGTTGATGTGTTAAGGCAGTTTATCCTTAACTTAAAACTGCAATGCAATTCCAGTTATTTATTACATTCCCAGCGCCATCACACTTTGCATTCCCTCTTCCAGGTTACTCTTTCACTTCAGAAGGTTTTACAGTCACCTAAGGCAAAGTCCTTGTCTTCTACCAAGAAACCACAGCACTCTGAAAGATTTAAATATCCAACTTACAGTTAGATCAAACCTAGACTCATAATCACTTGCCTCTTGCAAGACCTGGGCCAGCTGCTCCTTCAGGTTCTCTTCTCCTTGCTGACACTTTTCTCCCTGGGTGGGTTAAGAAGTGGGACAAAAAAAAAAGACTTGAAGAACATAAGAGACAGAAAATTACTACTCTGCACACTCTCTTTAGAGGATATGCTTAAAGAAACAACACTGATTTTCAACAAACGACAAGATGTTCCACTCTAGGGTTTGCAACAGAAATTAGAGCTATCATTTACTGTGAAGAGTTAAAATGGATGTATCATTTACAGTTCCATATTTGAAATACCTCCACATCATTCTAGCTCAAAAGGCACCAGCATATTCACACAAGCAAAAAGATCAGTAACAGCTTAAAAGCTGCAACTCTGTCTTTGAGCACACTCAAAGAGGTCAGAGATACCTAAAGCTCCAGGTAAACACCTTGCTGTTTCTAAGGACACAAATCCAAACTTGCTATACTTCTGATACTGGTATATTGCCTTTAGCAGAAGACTTTAAGGAAGTAACTAATAAATTATTAGTTAAATTATTATTATTTAGTATTATATATAATATTATTATATTAAGATGAATCATCATTTTCTTTAAATCACATTTTGAGCAGTCTCAAGTTTGAACAGATTTCAGTCTCTTACCAAAAAAGCAACTTATCACATATACTTCCTGCTTACAGATTACAAGATTGCAAGAAAGGGTTTTTTGAAAGTAGGAAAAGAATCTCCTTCCCTCCAAGGATAAAGGCATGCAATATTTCATTGATTTTAAAGACAGTGCATTTGCCATGCAAACTGAGCATTATTTCAGCCATGTGATGAGAGAAATTCACACTTAAAGTGATTACTTTTCAACTTGTCCTCTCTATAAGCATGAGAGATCAGGCAAAGACTTCCATTCTTTTATTTAAAAACATGCTTCTTTACCAACTGAAATGCTTTATTTTGCACCTTTTTCTGACTTCTCCATGCAGACAAATCTCTTCTGTCTCTGCCCTTTCTTTCGGTACATGCACTGTATTACATGCTAAGTTAAATACTTCCATGAAAATGTTAGCAGGGTAATTCACACAAACACTATTTATGTTACTGTATAGTTCAAGAGCTATTTTGGATTAATGCCTTATATGAGGCACTCCTTAAAGTGAAGACACAGGTCAAAATTGTTACCACCATTATACCTCTAGCTTCTGCTGCTCTTTACAGAATGTCCTCTCCAGCTCTTCCACCTGCTGCTGCTGATGCTCTTGTTCCATGTACAGTTGGTTCTGCAACTCCTGCAGCTCCTGTTCCATCAGAAGGATCTCCTTCTGATCACACTTCCCGTGCTTCTGCTTCACATTTAGAACTTCAGACTGCTTCTCCTGCACTTTGACCTTTAATTTCATTGTATCTACTAACGATTTCCTCAGCATTTTCAAGCCAGTCCATGACTCTGCAAGGCCAGAGCCTTTCTGGTCCATCTGGGGGACAGTCACAGCTTTCTTGGAGTCAACAGGGCTACCATGCACTGGACCACTATCCCCCTCACTGGGTCCAGGAGAAGACAGCTTGGCATCCATCTTCTCTGTTAGCTGTCTGGCCTCTTCTGCCTCTGTCCATGATTTATCTGAAGGCTCATTGTCAAAGGACATTCTGTCTCTTTTGCATCTGGAGTTTGAAGGGCCTTCTGATCCAGACGTCTCCAATTCCTCCAAACTACATTTACGTTTAGTTCTTGAACTCTTAGTTTTCCCTAGGTCACTTCTTTGGGCTAAAAAGGGTCTAATTTTCTCCCATTCGTCTTTAATTACTTCATACTCATATTCAGCGGTCTCTCTGTTTTCCAAAGGCACTCCTAACTGTATACGGTCTCCTTCAGCAATAGGATAGACTTTTGATGGATCCAGGCGCTGTTTGTTAAGCCAAACTCCATTTAGACTCTGCCAATAAACACAGAATCACCAAAATTTAGTATGTAGTTACAAAGTCCTCTGTAAGTTATTTCTGGCAACTGTAAATAAACACAGCCAGCCTCTCCAGTGCTTCAGAACAAAACACCTCTTTAAATAAAGCTTGTAATATCCAGCTTATTTGCTCAGTGTTGCATTTATTACTGCACTGTATTATTCACTGAACATTATTCTTGCATTAAAGATTTTCTGTACCATCACCAAGAACAACATTTTGACATACGTGCTTGTACAGAAGGAAAACAATGATCTCTGAGGGGAAAAACTTGCACAAAAGCTTCTGAAATAAGAATTAACTAATAAAAAGTCTCCACAATAGATCATTGTCAGGAACGTTGTGTACTACAGTAATTATTCTGTTACCTGAAATTCCAGAAAAAAAAAAAAAGGAAATAAGAAGAAGCATTGGTTATATTCATTGAAGAAAAACAAAGTTTTCCATAAATACAAGGAAACTATAAAGAAGGAAAATGTTCTTCTAGAGATAATGCTCGAAGCACAAAAAAGATTTTGAAATTAGCTCAATAAATAGTTTTCAAAACCAGCAAAACTGGTGTGTGCTCATGATGAACTGCTGAAACTCTAGGAACTGACATATCTAAATGAGATTCAATGAAACAAGCTGACCAACAGTGAAAATAGACAGGAAGTGTTAATAGGATCTATGGTAGATGTTCCCTATCATGTAGTAACATTAAGTTTTCAAGTTTATACATGTACTACAAGAGGGTTTTGTTTAAGATCAGTGTAATTTTAATAGTAGCCACTCCATTCCTTTCTGACTAATCTGCTGTTGACCCAAATAGCCTTCAAATCTGCATGATGTGTTGAACATTTTTGTTCTACCAGTGCTGTTTTAAACCAAATTACTCATTTTACTGTTTTCAGACCAAATGAGAAAGTGGAGACATCATTATATAAAAAACAGATTACTGAAGTCAGTGAGACCCAGGTGATGACTCTGATACCAACATTTTATCCTAATCAGCTGAGAAGAACTTTCAGGAGAAATTCATTTGTATACAACATGAAGCATGGTTTTTCTAACACTAGATTCTCATGGAAGTTGATTACCATTAAAGCAATTGTGTCACTACAATAAGGAGTTGCACTTTATTTTTTCATTAGTACTACAAGAATGTTACCCTTTTGAAAGGATAAAATCCTATGTCAAAATTCATATAGGATATTTTTTAAGAAAGTGACACCAAACAGGTTCACAGAATGCAAAGTGCCCTTGGCTTGGCCACACTGGCCTGGAAAATGTTAAACCAAGAGGTGGATCTACGTACAGAAAGTAATATAGCTTGCATGCCAACTGCAGCAGACTAAAGTCTCCTGCTGGAAGTGCACATTAGGCAAGACACATTCCCATGGACCTTCTATCACACTTATACTATATCATAGCCCATACATTGCTAGATCCAAAACAATGGATTCCACTCAATGAATCTCAGAGCACAAGGTCTTCAATTGGTCTCTGTACCTTGTTATCCTTGACAGTCCACTGCCCTTCTGCATTCTGCTGGAAGACACAGTGCTTCCGAGAGATCATCAAGGGACAGGTTTTTGACACCAGCTGGTATGTGATATCTAATCCTCGGCCTACAGTCACCTAAAAATAAAGTAGTTTAGTTACTGCAATCAGCAATGACATGGTAAATTCAGTTTACATCATTTTAATTTAAGTACAGCAAAACTCTAGATCAACATCTTATGGTTATTTCCAAAAAGTCTGTCATAATATGATCATTTTTCATTTAAATTTAAGAGAAGATAGAAAATGGAAGCTTACAAAGTTTGAAGTATTATCTTTCTCTCCTACTGAGGAAAATTTTACTTCTCTGAAGCGCATTACAACCTTGGTTTCATGGAAATCTCCTTCAGCAGCAAAGCTACTCAAAGCCACTCACAAAACATCTGTGTCCCACCTCAGTCATTACCTAAACAAACGTGATTTCTTCAAACCAGCACTACTGCGTGTGGGTCTCAAGATTACTTCTTACCCTTTCCTTTTGCTAGTTGCATCTGTTCAACCATTTGTGAACAGGAAAGATACAGGAAAAAATAGCCCAGAAAACTGCCATCAAAAAAAGTGCACACCCCACATTGCCCTAAATACACAATACTTTTGTAAATCACAGCACACTGATCCTGTGGCTCAGAATCTAAGCTACAAGTGGGTGATGCTGTGTAGTGAAAGTGATCTAAATAACTGAGTCTAAATTAGACTCTAATAGTATCTTCTGGAAGAAGGGACATAATTTAATTGTACTATTGCACCATACTTTATTAAATCTCATCTAATTTCAGATTGCCATTTAAAGCACATCCCTGCTCTCCCTTCCTCTGCACACTTCTCTTAATTCATCTGTGCACTGCATTACCTGAACAGTTCTCACCTTGAGTTTAGAGCAAGAACTCAGACCCCCCTGTCATAACCAAAGGCAAGGAAGCAAACTAAGATGACAAAAGCAAACTTAACCATGTTAGTGCCTACCTCTTAAATGTTTCATATAGTGTTCTGTCAGCATGGATTGCATATGTAAGAGGTACAGAGACTCGAATGGATAGACTCCCCTCTTCATGAGGATTCAAACATATAATCAATCAGCTTTGCATTTGTCCCAGCGATGGCATCCTCAGGGCCCAGTCACACACATCTGCAGGATCTCACACACCAATATGAGTGAGAGCAAGCAGGGTCAGTCACAAAAGTCCCCCTTGATCAAGTTCATTTAGCAAACAGGGGTCCAAGATGTTACCACTCTCCTGCTGGCAGTTCAGCACTGCCCACAGCAGTACTGGCAAGTCACAGCACATCCCCACACCTCACCAGTGTCCTTTGGCACTGAAGTGGTCACAGCACCAAGCCTGACAGGGATCAAGAAGTGTTTAGACAACACTCTCAGGCATGTGGTATGATTCTTAGGGCTGTCCTGTGCAGAGTCAGGAGTTGCACTCAATGATCTTTGTGGGTCCCTCCCTACCAACTCAGGATGTTCTATGAATTATGACTTAAATCTCCAGCAAAAGCAGTTTGTGCTCTGTGGCCTGGCACACCTAAAGCACCAGAATGCCATTAGCCTCCCTGCTGCCTATGACAACCACTGTGCAGACAATCAGAGCAGTAACATCCCAAACTGGATTCTCTGTACAATTATCAGCACTCTGGGTGCAAGTTGTATTACCTCCATTCCTTCGCTGAGGTGGTCTGCACATCTCAGGGCTTCAAATACACGATGGGACAGAAACAAAATCGTACGTTTGGATAGGTGCTTTTTGCAGTGTATGAGCACAGGGCCTTGGCCACAGCATCATCCACACCATCTAACTACCTGTCCGATTTTGGCCACCAGAACAGCATTCCTTTAACAATGCCCCAACCTCACCACAAGTCTTTGCCTGCTGGGTTTTAGGGAGGAGTAGCAGGACCCATTTTTCTATTAAAAAACATGATCGCTGAGAAAACGGCTATTCCTGTACCGCACCAAAACAATTTAAACACGACCTCGTTTACACCCGAATACCTTATGTCTTACGTACTATTAACCTCGGCAAAGCATTGCCTTGTTAATTAGGCCACGGACAACCTCGTCCTCATTTACGTTCCCGTCACACGAACAACTCTATCTAAATATGACATAAGAATTTAAAGAGATAAACAAGCAAAGGCTTGGCCAAGTTGACTCCAGCGCCTGGGTCCGCCCTCCCCGCCCTCGGGCGTTACCGGGGCTAAACGGCATCCGCTGGTGCCGCCCGGCGGGGAGGCCGGGCGAGGGCTGGGGTGAGCCCTCCGAACGGCCACGAATGGCGGCTGCTCCTTAAGCGGGACGAGGCTTTCCTCCTGGGAAGCACTGTCAGAAACGAGTTCCGCCCAAACTACGCCCCAAGAGCCGTGCCCACCCGCCCGCTCCGAGGGGCCGGAGGCCGGCGCGGCTCACCTGCGTGCCAGCCTCCAGCAGGAGCCAGTCGCAGCTAGCCCCAATACGGCGGAGGCACCAGGCCAGGCAAGACACCCCGCGCACCGCCATGGCACCCGCACGGCGCAATCGCGGCGGCGGCGGGGACGGAACGGGACGGGGCGGGGCGGGGCGGCCACGCCCGACCGAGCCCGGGCCGTGATCGGAGCCCGCGCGTGCGCCGCAGGACCCGTGGGGCCGATGGAGCAGCCCTTTCCCGCAGTCTCGCCGCCCTCCTCCGAGTCTCGCCTCCCCCTCGCACCGCCCCTTCCGGGCGCCCCGGAGCCGCCGTCCGCCGTCCATCGTGGGGCGCCATGGCTGCGGCCGCCCGCCTGGGGCGGCGGCTGCTGCTGGTGGTGCCGTGCCGCTGGCGCTGTAGCTTCCGCCGCGGTGGTGCCGCCTGCCCGTCGGCGGGGCAGGTCCGCGCCGCCTTCCTGCGTTTCTTCGAAGAGCGCCACGGCCACCGCCGCCTGCCCTCGGCCCCCGTGCGGCCCCGCGGCGACCCGCGCCTCCTCTTCGTCAACGCGGGCATGAACCAGGTGCTCTCCCCGCTCCCGCATCTCACCTCCTCCGGCTCACCGGCGCTTCCGCGTCTCCAGAGGAGCGCGGCCGGCTTGGGGTGTCCCCTACTAAGGAGATCTCCGGCGTTGCTTTGGGCTGCCTCCGGGATGCCTCTCGTAGTGCCCGCTGTGGGAGTATCTCGCTGGCGATAGTTAAGAACTGTCTGAATACAGTCCTGTGCCGTGTGTTCTAAAACGAACTTGCTTAAGCAGTGACCCACTATGGTCCCAGCCTGACCCTTTCTGTGTTTCAGGAGCCCGAGGCGCAGGCCCCTGCGCTGGGTGGCATCTGTCCGTAGCGGGTGTCTCTCATTTCCAGTTCAAGCCCGTTTTCCTGGGCACGGTGCACCCCCGGAGCGAGCTGGCCCAGCACAGGAGGGTGGTGAACAGCCAGAAGTGTGTGCGTGCGGGAGGGAAGCACAACGATCTGGAGGATGTGGGCCGAGATACTTACCATCACACGTTCTTCGAGATGCTGGGCAATTGGTCCTTCGGGGATTACTTTAAGGTGAGGTGATAGGAGTGAACCCTTCCTAGGGGAAAACATAGCCTTTCTTTCGGAGCTGCGCTGTAGTGCCATGGGACCATGTGCAGAAGGCGTTTTGGTAAGATCCAGATTCATTTCTGGGAGCTCTGTGGCCTGGAACAGAGGTGGTCAGCTCATGGGCTCTGTCACTGAATGTGTCCTGCAGACTCTTAATGTACTCAGCCTGTCAAAGCTGTGGCCAAGATATAAAAATCAAAGTTCTCTGTGAGAATGCCAGTGTTGACCACTTAATATGGTAAAAAGAGGTTAGTAGTTCATTCAGTGATTATTACTAGAAAGTTTGAAAAGGGAGGAGGAATAAAGGATGTTAGGTTTTTTAGGTGGTGAATACATTTTTTATTTGGGAAGAAAATAATTCATGTAACTCTGCCGGTAAGCACATAGATGCACGTCATGCTGAAGGTCTCACATTTTAGGAATATCAGTTTTCCACTGGCAGAAGTTAGCTGTCTCACTCTTCTGACCTTCATCCTGCTCTTTGCAATACATGTGAAAATTAGAAAGGGAGAGAAACAGCTGAAATTAACTTCTTTGTTGTTTGACTCCCATTCTAAAGACCCTTCCTGAATTACTGTGCTTCATTTATTTCCCTACCTGCTCAGGTGGAGGCATGTAGCATGGCATGGGAGCTTTTGACAGAGGTCTATGAGATCCCCAGAGATCATCTCTACGTCACCTATTTTGGTGGAGACCCCTCCCTGGGGCTGAGCGCAGATGAGGAGTGCAGGGATGTGTGGCTCCGCCTGGGGTAAGTGTGTTAGACAAGAGGTTCTGAGCAGCAGGTGCTGGCATTTCACTTTCCACAGTTCTGCATTTGCTCTTTAGTTGGTCAGCTGTAGGGACCAGAGACCGTTTTAAACTCATTTTGTTTCTGGTTTCTTTGGGCTGTTAAAGGTCAGCTGGGCTCTGAGCTTACTGGGTCTCTTGAACTTCTGGTTCATTCTCAGATAGCATCAGTGATGGTGGGTATGTGCCTAAAACTGGCTGGCCTGGATGAAGTGTGTACAGGATCTTCAATCCTTTGCTTCCTCTCCATCGTGAGAGTACGTTCTCTGAAAGTGAGTGACGGCTGCTTCAGTGAGAGGGTGCAGCCATTGCAGAGAGCACTGCTGTGCTTTGAGAGCTTGTTCCAGGCTGTATGTAGGCTTTGAACCCAAGTCAGCAAACTCTATGCCACTGATGGTGTTCAGGTCTTGTCTCTGCTCCAAAGAGCAAGTGCTCCACAGCACTGCCACCTCTGTTGTTTGCCTTTCCAGGGTTCCTGCCAGTCACGTGCTTCCTTTCCCACTGAAGGATAACTTCTGGGAGATGGGGGACACAGGTCCCTGTGGTCCCTGCACAGAGATCCACTACGACCATGTGGGTGGTGGCAGAAATGCTGCAGCACTGGTGAACCAGGGCAGCCCTGATGTAGTGGAGATCTGGAACTTGGTCTTCATGCAGTACAGCAGGTACCAAGCATCTCTTCTGAACTCCAGAGCCTTTCCCCCTAGCCTGACTTCAAAATCGTGTATATTCTCAGACATACCACTGTTTTCCAGAAGGTGGCAATACCAGGAGAAAGAGAGAAGCTATGGAGATTTGTCCAGCATGACTCTTGGTCCCTTTTGCTTTATTTCCCTGTCTTCTTCAACCTTCACTGCCAATTCTCCCTTAATGCTGCCTTCCAGAGATCTCTTGAGGTCAGCAGCAGCCTGGAGAAGGAGGAGAAGGCCTTTGGCCCTTTTAGGGAAGGCCTTTTTCCTTACATTGCAGCCTATCTTTACTATGTGATGGTCAGATCCTGGCTGCCTGACAGGGCCAAGGCAGGCTGCTGTCACTCTTGTCCCTGAGCTTCCTTGTGCTGAGTCACCTGCTGTTTCTATCCATGTCACTTTCCCATTCTCTTTGAGTCACGTGTTCCTTATTTTTGCATGTGAACTGATTCTTGCTTTTCTTTTGCCTTTTATTTTTCCTGCCTGGCTGACAGAGAGGTTGAGGGGAATCTCCTTCCCTTGCCACAGCACCATGTGGATACAGGAATGGGTCTGGAAAGGCTGGTGACAGTTCTGCAGAACAAACGCTCCAACTATGACACAGATCTCTTCACTCCCATCTTGGATGCCATTCACAAGGTGATGGTGCTTCTGCTCAGAGTCACAGTTCAACAAAAGCTCCATGAACAAAGATTGCTTGCTGGGTAGCATAGTACAGCCTTCTCTGAATGCTGATGAGCAGACTCTTGAGACAGGAGGTTATGTCCTGCCAGGTCCAATGCAGTGCTCTAGAAAAAAGAGGGAATTCCAGGCTGGAAATCTGCTGGAATATCAGCGCTGCTGATTCATTTTTCCTTCAAAGTGTCTTAAGCTACTCAGTGCCAGGGCGCTGGCTGACCTGTATTAGTCTTGGTCTATAGTGCTGTGGAAGGATTTAATGAGTACATCTTAGGTGCATGAGGTTCAGAGGTAGTTGAAAAACATTATGTCAGGCTGGCTGCCTCTTGCATTGGAACTTCTTCTGCAGCCTTTACTTTCTGCTGATTTTTCTCTCTGCTTTCTCTTTTAGGGCTGCAGGGCACCCAGATACCAGGGTTTGATTGGGGATGCTGATGTTGGGCGTGTGAACATGGCCTACCGCGTGGTGGCAGATCACGTGCGCACCTTGTGCGTCTGCATTACTGATGGCATTTACCCAGGCTTCTCTGGAGCAGAGTAAGGACATAAGGAAATGGTATGGGGTGGAGGAAATTAGGTCTAGAAAGGAATATGAACAGCCAGGGAAGAGGTTCTGATGTGGGCCCCAGATAGGGTGTTCATGAGCTTTTGGGTAGGCAGGAAGAGGAGAGCTGGGAAGTGCTTCCAATCTGCAGACTTCCCCTTGGATGGGTGTAGAATGTTGGGAGCAGCTGGCCTGTGTTGATGAATCAGACCAGAGGAGCTGGGGGATGTTGAAGCTGGGCAGGGATGCTCAAAAGGCTGCCTGAGGAGTCCTGCCCTGTTTTCAGATTGGTGCTGCGTCGGATCCTGCGCAGGGCTGTACGCTTTTGCTCCGAAATTCTACAGGCTCCACCTGGGCTCCTGGCCTCCCTGGTGCCTACTGTAGTGGAAGTGCTGGTGAGTAAAACTGCTGTCTTGGGCAAAAAAGATCATCACACATATCCCTTTTCCACACACTGTCAGAAATCTCCAGGAGCTCCAGGAAATTGTACCTGATGCTGTACATTCCAGCATTAAAAACCTCTTGTCCCCATATCACTTGTGATGGGAGGGAGGGGACCTAGTGACATCAGTGGTAAAGTCAGCACATAAGTGTATGCAAGTAACCTCTGTAATGTTTGTGGCATGCTCTGAGACCCCCTGCATCTTTCTGAGGATGTTTTCACTAACTGATGCTCACTTCCACAGGGAGATGCTTATCCAGAGCTGACAAGAAATGCTAACCAGGTGAGCAACGTGGAATCCTCCTGCCTCATTATCTTTGTGAGGCACTGCTCTCAGGGCCAGAAATCAGCCTGCCCTTGGGACTTAGCTGAAGGAATTTGCATAGCCTCCCCTATAACCATGTTCTTGTGGGTGGGCCGAGATGTGCTGGGCACAAGAAGTATCTGGCAGATTTCCATGTGGGAGCTCCACTAGGTCCTTAGCAGGGACTGCATGTCCTGTGTAAGGTGGCTGTTGCTCTAAAAAAGCTACAATAGCTTTTTTGGTTGAGTGCAAGTACAGCCTGTCCTCACCCAGGTACCCTTTGTCTGAAGTGGAGTGATGATTTAAGACTAGTCCCAGCTTGCTTCCACTGACAGCAACTTCTCTGGCTGCTCCAGATGTACAGTTGTAATTGGGTCACAGATATTAATACCCAATAGGGAACATTTGCCAGCCTAAAGCTTTCCCCATGTGGATGGTCAATATTTCCTTGACGGGAATGGTGACAGGAGGCACAATGACTTTGGCACTGTTCAATAGTGCATTGGAGCCATGTTGTGATG